TGGTGGGGGGGGGGGGGGGGGGGGGGGGGGGGGTAGAGAGAGAGAGATAGTGCTATTTTTCCTTAAGGTATAGTATATCTCCTGCTGTTTAACTTAATACTGGAAAAGTTTTCCTTCTTCAAATTGTTTAATCTCTTTGATGGTTCTGGGTTCAACGACTGGAATCTGGCTAAAATTCTAGGTGTAGTCGAGAGCTGGTTTTTTGTGGAAACTCTTAGCTACTAATTGTGTCTTGTCCTGAGAACCCCTACCATTTGAAAAGCCACTCTGTACCTCCACCATATTTTGAGAAGCATTAGAAGGAATTAACTCTCAGATTCCATTAGATAATAAAACATCAAATTCTGAAATCATCGAAGCGTTCCATCTAGAGTCTTTAGTTGCCACACTAGCGTGAGCTCAAGAGATGGTGGTTTATTGAACTTGGTCACCATATTACTGACTTCAGTTACGAATTGTTATTTTGATCTCCACTCTGTCAAGTTCTGCATATAATCCATATTCTAAGCAGAATTACATTTTTCTTTAGGTTATGATAGTTGACTGTTGTGAGTTTTGACTCGTGAAATCTTCGTAATATGTTTTTGATGAGTCTTATATTAGGTAAAACATTTCTGTCCTCCTAATATCAGATTTTCTTGATGGACTTCATTGAAATAACATTTCTGAAATTTAGCTTTCCTTTGAGTCCTATCTAGGTGGCAGAAGTATTACTTCCCATGTTCTAATGATAACAACAAAAAATAGGTTTTCAGTTGAACCACTCAATGAATCATAGCTGCATTTCTTCTTCTCAGTAATATTAACAGCGTGTATTATACATCAAGATAGACTAGATCTACCTATACATTTACTGTTAAGAGTAGAATTCTGTAAAAAGTGATTTTTATTTTTAATTTTTCTTCAGATGGTGGTCCATTGATACTATTGCTGTAGTGACTGGTGCAAATAGGGGAATTGGATTTGAGATTGTGCACCAACTTGCATTGCATGGGTTGACAGTAGTACTCACATCAAGAGACACAGGCGTCGGTGAAGAAGCAGCAAAGGTCTTACAAGAAGGAGGATTAAATGTGTTGTTCCATCAATTAGATATCATGGATCCTGCATCGATTGAAACTTTTACCAAATGGATAAAAGAAAATTATGGTGGTATCGATATACTGGTATAATGGCCACCTTGTTTTACTGACATGTTAATGATCTATTTTAAGTTGATATAACCAAAAAGTTTGGTAATTTTGTTTGTTAGATTAAGTACTTCTCATTGATTATACACTTCTAGGTAAACAATGCAGGAGTTAATTTCAATGCTGGATCAGACAATGGTGTGGAATTTGCCGAACAAGTTATTCATACCAACTACTATGGCACGAAAAATATGATCAAAGCCATGATTCCTTTAATGAGACCTTCCCCTTCAGGTGCTCGTATTGTGAACGTGAGTTCACGATTGGGTAGATTCAACAGCAAACGGAATGTAAGTAGGAGCTATGTTTATTTATTTATTTATTTATTTATTTTTGGATTTTTATCATTGTCATGATTTTTCCTCTTCCTATTTTATTGTTTTTCTCCTGTGAAATATTTCAGTTATGCAGACACTGCATAAGTTTTTGTTTGTTAGCTTCGTGGCGACTAAGATTACAAGTCTAAACAAGGCATATGTTCTATAGTTCCAGTTTTACCCCGGTTTACTCTGGTAGAGTTCTTGTTTACATGCAAGATTGCAGGTTATCTTACACTATGATAGTCAACATGATAAATCATAGATCTTTTTTGTTTTAATTAAGTATCCGGAGATTAATCTATATTTGATTGTACATGTAGCGCGTGCAGAAAATGTGTGGAACTTGAATCCTTTTTATTTTTACTTGTAGAAGCTCGTTACTTGATTCTGTCTGCTAGATGTTTTCAATAAACAATTTCTCCCAAATGATTTATGTTAAGTCAGAATCATATCGGTTTATTTTTCTATTTCCATGCTAAGTAATTTACCCTCCTGGTGCATGCTTGAAATATTGAAACATCATCCACAGAAATCCTAAAGGCACATTATTCCTCTGCTCCCCTTGCAAAACACCCGAAACTTTTCAGTATTCTTTCATCTTTTGTTGTTTTTGACAATTTGAGGGCCACATGTCTTAAAATCAACATCTTTGACCAGCTGGAGCACTAAAAATTCATACTTTCAGTGCGTACGAATTCTTTTAAAGCCTCCTCTACTAAATGAGTAATTTTCAAGATCTTTAGTACCCGAAATCATAACCTCTACAAATAAGTTTATCTGTTTTTGCAGAGAATTGGAAATGATGAACTGAGAAAACAATTGGAAGACGATGAAGCACTATCTGAGGAGCTGATCGACCAGATTGTTAATAAATTTCTAGAACAAGTAAAAGATGGCAGTTGGACGGAAGGTGGATGGCCACAAGTTTTTACAGATTACTCTTTATCAAAACTAGCCGTTAACACTTATACAAGGCTGATGGGAAGGATACTTTCAGAACGCCCTGAGGGCCAGAAGATATACATCAATTGCTACTGTCCAGGCTGGGTGAAAACGGCCATGACTGGTTGGTCGGGGCATATTAGTCCTGAAGATGGTGCTGACACTGCAGTTTGGCTAGCTCTTCTTCCAGATCAATTCATAACGGGTAAATTTTTCTCTGAAAGGCGTGAGAAACATTTCTAACAGTAGGGGTCGACATATTCTAGGATTCAGTTTGGTTGCATTTTGCCCTTTAAGGACCAGATAAGAGATAAAGAAACTCAGTCTGCATCATAGAAGCCTATATTTATATGCTATTGAAATGGAGTCGTAATGTAAGAATGCATGATTGACAGCTGATTTCAACTCAAGAAGATTTGATCAGACTAAAGATTCAAGAGTAATTATTTACATCATGTCCTCTTAGTTTGTTCAATTGAGGAACCAGAGAGCCTTGGGATTGAATAGAAACCACCAATTTTTGGTATTTTTGATGATGTATTGTCATTTCTTTCTTTTGTGTTGAATTGAATGGATTATGATATGAATGAATTTTCATTAGACAGATGTTTAATTCTATGAAAGTTAAATATGTTGAAGTCGTGGCCTAGTTGTTCATCTATGACTATTGAGGGAATACTTTTTCTTGTATGTTCCAATTTATCTTTTGCGTCAAGCAAGGCTATTTAGGCATCCTGTACTTAATATTAGTTTTGTTTGGAAGGGATTAAAATTGAATTTTTAATAAATTTTGAAAAAATATGAAAAAATATGTTATTGAAAAGTTATGAATTCCATAAAATATGTATTTAAAATTAATTATTCACTTTAATTTATAATTCTTATTAAACAGGGGCTTAATATCACCAATCAAGATGTTCCAATTAATGCCATATGACCTGAACTTGATTTTTAAGCTTACTATTATTCTCTTTCGTGGAAGATTACCGACTTCCCCCAAGTACTTACCTTTGTGTTTGGGGAAAATTGATTCAAATCAAAAATAGAAATTAGAAAGATTTTAATCATAAAGTTAAGGGAAAGTTGCAACAGCGGTCCCTAATCTTTTCATTTTTTACAGACTTTATCATAATCTTTATTTTATGCCAGTTAAGGTCCCCAACCTTTCATAAATATAAACCCGAGGTCTATCTGGATGGAAATCATCTAAAACACCATCAGTTAATTAGGAAAATTCCTCGAACTATCGTTATCGCGACAGTTTTATTGGATGTTGATTTCTTAATATTATCGATCAATAGACGGTGTTTTAGACGGTTTTCGTCCAGATGGACTTCAAGTGCATATTTATGATAGATTAGAAATCTCTGCTGGCACAAAATGAAGGTTAAAGTAAATTCTATAAAAATAAAATGGTTAGGGACCACTGTTGCAATTTTTCCTAAAGTTAAACATGTGAAGAGTGTTATAGAGTAACTGCAATCAATTAATCTGCAAATATATATTTTTTAACATAATTGGTACAGAAAAATAGCTTTTTATTGTGATTTGTTATTGTCAGAAACTGTTTTTGATAATAATCAATTACATGGGGACAATTGTCTTTTTGTACAAATTCTATAAATAAAAATTTACTTGTAGCATTGTTCAACTGCAATTGGTCGGCCAATTACCTAACAATTTCAAGAAAATTGCACAAAGATTAGTGAGGATGGAAGAGTGCCACATCTCTCATCATCAATCATAGGGAAAAGAATAATGCTAGTCACCCAAGTATAATAACAGGGGATTTGAATTTGCTGAGGTGGCAAAATTGCACAGTTAAAAAAAAGGCTTAAGAAACTAAACAAAAGGGGAAACCACGAGTTAATTGTTTGAATACTCACTGAACTTTAAAGGACGTCACGTTTCACTCACTGAACTTTACTTTGCATCCAATTACTCACTGAACTTTGGAGTTAATTGTTTGAATACTCACTAAACTTTAAAGGGCATCACGTTTCACTCACTGAACTTTACTTTGCACCCAATTACTCACTGAACTTTGTAAACTTGCACTCCATCACTCATCGGGTTAAAGAGTTAATTGTTTGAATACTTACCGAACTTTACAAGACGTCACATTTCACCCACTCAACTTTACTTTGCACCCAATTACTCACTGAACTTTGTAAATTTGCACTTCATCACTCACCAGGAACCGTTTGTTCTGTTTGCCTATGTGGATGACGGCTTTAACACGTGACAGTTAAATTAGACAAACATAACAATGAATTGCCAAATCATATATCCAAAAAGACCCAAACATGCCTCACCGTTTTCACTCAAAAATGCCATGCCCAGTAAAGGCGAAAAAGAAGAAACAACAATCACGATATACTAAAATTCACCTTCGAAGCGGCCTATTTTAAGAGATTAGGGTTCCAATCGCGATTTATGTGTTAAAAACAGTGAGGCATGTTTGGGTCGTTTTGGATATATGATTTGGTAATTCATTGTTATGTTTTTCTAATTTAACTGCCACGTGTTAAAGCCGTCATTCACATAGGCAAACAGAACAAACGGTTCCTGGTGAGTGATGAAGTGCAAATTTACAAAGTTCAATGAGTAATTGAGTGCAAAGTAAAGTTGAGTGGGTGAAATGTGACGTCTTGTAAAGTTCGGTAAGTATTCAAACAATTAACTCTTTAACTTGATGAGTGATGGAGTGCAAGTTTACAAAGTTCAGTGAGTAATTGGGTGCAAAATAAAGTTCAGTGAGTAAAACGTTACGCCCTTCCAAAGTTCAGTGAGTAATTGGGTGCAAAGTAAAGTTCAGTGAGTGAAACGTGACGCCCTTTAAAGTTCAGTGAGTGAAACGTGACGCCCTTTAAAGTTCAGTGAGTATTCAAACAATTAACTCGGGAAACCACAGAAGTGAAAGTGCAAAAGCGGAAACATAAGTGCCAAACCATCCCTCCTTGTTGCTGCTGCGCCTACGCCGACCGGAGCACCCATCGCCGACGGAGCATCTTCAGAGACCAGTACTGCTACCACTAAAGAATCAATTGCAAATGTCTAATTCACGAGAGGGGTCCCATTGAAAAAACTTGCCACGCAAGGGGAGATCAAGAACAGAGCAAAAACCTGTGAGTTCTTTCCTAATACATTTTTACCCTTGATATGCTAAAGAATCTTAGTATTCTTCATCATCTATCTCCAAAATATGTGTACTGCAATATTTATCTGATTGATCGCACCCCTCTTTCATATCCAAACTATCATCATTATTAAACCAGAATTTAGCTCAAGTACTCGTACAATTCCTTAAGAATCTTGGCACCGAACTTGTCATAAAAATTAGCAGATCATTATAACTTTAACCTAAATTGCTCCCAAATCAGGACTGAATGGAGCAAAAAAAATCTACGTTGAATTCCATCTCAACATCATATCTAAAACCATCTCCCACTAGCCTTTGTAAGATCATGTTGACCTCACCTGGCTTCGGACCCTGTGCCACCTATGTACAAAATAGATAGGGAAAAAACACTGGAGATTATGGAAGGAAGAACAGAATAAAATCCAGTCGACTTTTGGGTTTTCAAATGTTGGAGATAAATGAGTTCCCTTTTTTCCCATTTTCCCCTCTTCTTGATTGGTGACTACCGGTGCTCTGGTCGGCTATGGCTCGACGACAGAATGGAGGGTTTGGAAACAAATGAAAAATCAGTCCCGATTTTAGGAAATACATGCAAATGACCCAAAACAAAGAGTTCATTTTCCAAAATAACCTTTGACTTATTTAGATACTTAAAATACCCTTCTTTTTGAATATTGCATAACAGGTTAATATGATATAGAAATCTTGCATTTTAGTCCTTAAAATTAAATATCACTTGATTTTCTATAGATTTATTGTTTTAGATTTATTTGATTTTTTAGATGTATTTTGATTTTTGTTCGCTCTAAGTAGCCTCCCCCCACCTCCAAATTGGTATCAAAGCCATAGAGATCATGGGGAAGCCCATAAAAAATAGGTTACCTGAAGAAATAAAAATCTTTAGATTTAGATTAACATTTAGATTTTATATAAATTTAATAAATAATAGATTAATTATTATAATGTTAAAGGAATATTTTGATTATACATCTTGAAAATAATAATTAATTATAATATACAAATATTTATATTTACATCTTGATAAAAACATAGAGATCATGGAAATTAAAATAAGAAAAATAGATAATTATTATAAATTAGAAGAAGGAAGAGGAAGTTATATATTTTTAAAACCTATTTCTAATAAATTAAAAATAATAACATTAACAATAGTTAAAGTTTTACCTAAAGAAATAAAAGAACAAATATTAGAAAAATTAATAATAGAAACAATAAATGATATATATACATATGAACAAATTATTAATATATTTGAAGATGAAGAAATTAATTCTTATTACAAAGAGAAGTATGAGTGTAAATGATACTAAAAATTTAAAATAAAATAAAATAATTATAAAAATGGAAAAAATACAAGAAGAAATAAGAAATATAATGTTAATACCATAATAAATAAGAGTATCGAATAAAAGACAATTAATAAAATTAAAATGTGAAAGATTAAGACTTGAGAGTAAATATTTTAGTATGGTAAAAGAATAATTAATAGATAATCTAGATATAGACAACAGAAAGTTTGGGAAAATAATAGATAAAAAAAAAGATAAAAGATGTAAATTAACTTATATGTTATAAAGATGATAATATGCCAATAAGTGAATATATGGAAGAATTAAAGTCATTAATAAAAATATTAATAAATGATATACAAGATTTAAGAAATGAAGTAAGAAAAACAAGAAATGATATAAATATATTAAAAATTGAAATTAGAGAATTAGAATAAAATAATAAAAATAAAGAAATGAAAATAGATAAAAAAAATCAATAGAAAAAGAAATAACTCGAATAAGAAAGAAATATATTGAGAAAGAGAGTGTAATAATAGAAACATGAAGTATGGACGATGAATTAAGAAAAGATAGATTGCCAATAATATTAGAAAAATTAAAAGTAAAAGAAAAAGAAGATAAAGATGAATGAGGAATTAGATTTACTTATAAAAAAATTTGATCAATTAAGTTTAAGTGATATAAATGAATACCAAGTTCTAATGAATGCTGGAGGAAGACTAATCCAATATGAACTTCTAAACAAGAATTACAAGATTCAGATGAAAGTTATGTACCTATATATAATAAATTATGTAAATAATTTTATGATAAAGTAAGAGATGGACAACCACCTAAAGGAAATAAATATAGAGACAGATTTGAATTAAATGATAATTATGATAAACCTATTAACCATGGAGGAACAAAACTAGGTTTAAATTGTAAAATAGATACTAAAAAAGCCTTATTAACTTGGGCAGATTCAATAATATTATTCTTTTAATATAATAAAGAGGACACATGGAAAAATATTGAAAGAAGAATAGATTTCTTAATAGCATCTTTTAAAGGAGATGTTAGAAATTGGTAGGAATGAACAAGTAATGATACAAAAACATTAATAAAAAGAAATGTACAAATAGAAATAATCAAATCAGATAGAC